AAGCCCCAGCAGCACTACAGGCTTGTGGAGGAGTGGCTGGAGAGCTGCCAGGCGGAGAGGGACCTGGGGCTGTTGATGGACAGCCGGCTGAACAGGAGCCAGCAGTGTGCCCAGGTGGCCAATAAGGCCAACGGCATTATGGCCTGGATCAGAAATAGATTGTCTAGCAGGAGTAGGAAAGTGATTACACCCCTGTACTTGGCCCTGGGGAGGCCTCAACCTGAGTACTGTGTTTAGGTTTGAGCACCGCAGTATAAGAAAGACATTGACTCGCTGGACCTTGTCCAGAGAAGAGCAACAAAGCTGGTCAGGGGTCTAGAGATCATGTCTTACAAAGAGTCACTGAGGGAGCTGGGATTGTTCAGCCTGGCAAAGAGGAGCTTCTTTGCTCTCTATAATTACCTGAAAGGAGGTTGTAGTGAGGTATGTGTTGATCCCTTCAGCCAAGAAACAAGAAACAGGACAAGAGGGAAATGGCCTCAAGTTGCCCCAGGGGAGGTTTAGATTGGATAAATGTCTTTACTGAAAGAGTGGAGAGGCATTGGAACAGGCTGCCCAGGGAAGTGGTGGAGTCGCCATCCCTGGAAACGTTCAAAAAACACGTAGATGTGGCACTTCGGGACATGGTTTACTGGTCATGGTAGTACTGAGTAGACAGTTGGGCTAGATGATTTTAGAGGTCTTTTCCAACCTTGATGATTCTATGATCCTGTGTTTATGTGTTCCTTCAACTGTTTTTTGTTGTCTTAAAACAAAAGCTTCCCAATATTTTTCCCAATGTTTTTCTTGTTTACTTAAATAATATGTCATATGCTGTGGGGAGGGAAGTGTTTGGCTTGTTAGTTCTTGCACACACCTGCGTGCAAATCTGTATTCTGCCCATTCTTTCCTGATTTTTTGAAATCTAAACTGGAAAAGACCTTACATTGCCACTGAAGGCTTCTTACTAGCATACCTTTTTTAGCTGGAGAAAAACAAACAGTTTTCTCATAGTTATTCTGAAAAAGGCTTAGTTTATGTAAAACATCTTTATCTGTGAAGTTAACATGATTTATTAGGTATTGTTTTACAACTGCAAGGTTTTTTTTGCTGTACATTTTTCTCCCTTGTGATGAGTGTGAGAAAGGCAAGTCCTAGAGGTTAAAAAGGGCATGGTAGATTTGCCAAAGCTATGTGTGATCTGTTTCTGAAAATGAAAAAAAAATCTGCCTGGAACAAAGGCCAAGATGTATTTTGCCTCCTTTTTTTTTTTTTTTTTTTTTTTTTTGTTACGAACTAGTAAGTTTTAAAGGCTAAAACTTTAAGTGTAGTAAAGACAGGGAGTGTTCACTGACGTGGGAGCTGCACCCATGAGGTTTTCCATGGAAATGCAGCACAAGTAACTCCCACTTAGTGTTGCCTGCCTGCCAACTTTTCTGATAGAATACAACTGAAATTACTGTTGCCTTCTCATGACAGGAAGGTATTCCCACTGCTCTTTTGCACAGAACTTATTTAGTCAGCCAAGTAACACCCGAGCCTTCTTGCCTCCCCTCAGCAGATTTGGATCAAGTTCTATTTTTATTCACGTTATTCTTTTTTTTAAATTGATAATTGACATAGAATCATAGAATGTTAGGGATTGGAAGGCACCTCTGGAGATCAACTAGTCCAACGTCTCTGCCAGAGCAGGATCCCCTAGGACAGCCGCACAGGAACGCGTCCAGGCGAGTTTTGAAAGTCTCCAGAGAAGGAGACTCCACAACATCTCTGGGCAGCCTGTGCCAGTGCTCTGTCACCCTCACAGTAAAGAAGTTTCTCCTCATGTTGAGATGGAGCTTCCTATGTTCTAACTTAAACCCATTATTTCTTGTTCTGTTGCTGGGCACCACTGAGAAAAGATTTTCTCTTTCCCCTTGGCACCCACCCCTCAGATATTTGTATACATTAATAAGGTCCCTCCTCAGTCATTTCCATTCAAGGCTAAGCAGCCCCAGTTTCTAAGTCTCTCTTCATAGGAGAGATGTTCCAGTCCCTTGGTCATCCTCATAGCTCTCCGTTGGACTCTTTCCAGTAGGTCCCTGTCTCTCTTGAATTGGGCATGTGCTTTTTTGGATCCTTCAAGTCAGAAGTCTTACAACAGGTGCCATTTCTTTTAGTACTTATGAAGAAGTCACAAGCTAGAGCTGTATTTCACTTACAAATATATGGTTTGACTTACAGACCTGAAAGGAAATAAAATGTGCTTTTTACCTCACTACATTTTAAAAACACAAGGCAAGGTTCAAAATAGCTAAAAGTGTTAGATTAAAAAGAAACCTGAGCTAGATATGCCTGTTGGCTCTATGAATTTTGTAGAAAGTATTCTCTATTCTTATGGTGGTTTACCATTTCCTGCATATTTATTATTATTGGCAGACCTCTCTAGTAATTATGTCATCATTTGAGACTTTTTCTCAAAGTGAGAAAAAAGATGCCTCACTAGTTTCAATGTGGTCATGGTAATGAATGTTAGTAATGTCTTCTCCATGTTTTAGGGAAGATGTTTGATGCAGGAGTCATCTTAAGTGGTTGTAGATACATTCCACGAAGGTAACTATGTTATGTCTAGCTGTCACATTCCTCTCTGGGAGAAGGAACAGGTGTTTCAAATACCCTGAGAGTACCTTTTTATTTCTAATGAATTTTTAAAAGTGCATATGGTGACTGACTCAGCTGAGGGTACCATACTGAAGAAGCGTAGTGTGCATTGCTGTCATGTATCTGAGCAATTGCAGATTCCTGTGATGGGACTAAATCTGTCCTTTTACATTACAGCATCCTTCCTTTGCACTGGGAGGGAGAGCAATGTAGCAAAGGTGGAATGTTTCTGTTGTATGTCTCCCATGGCTGAGCCCCTGGCAAAAGTTAGCTTTTCTAACATGCACCTGCCAACGTCATCGAAATGCCACAGCAGTCCATAGAAGCATCTCCAAGCAATTGCTTGGGAATGATTCTTCCACAAAGAATTGATCCACGGGAGTGAGAGATGCAGTCCCCAAGGGGATCATTGTTGGTTGCTGTTGTTGGAGATCATTGGCATGGGAGGTCATACTGTTGTGCTGGCTGTCATCTGATTTCAGAGCTGATGAAATCAAATGTTTGTCTGCTGTGGAAGGAAGGGTGCCTTTTGTTGCTTCTGTTTATTGACTCCACTTTTTTTAAAGAGTAATGTCAGAGTTTGTTTGTTTCATTTTTTTCTATTTCTTTCCAGCTGTGATAGACAAAATGTCAAGAGAGTAAGTGACCTACCCACCAGAACTTGCCATGAACCATTTGGTTGGACCACCTGAGGGGGAGGTAAGCGAAGAGCCAGCAAATGGAGCAGTGAATGAGTCAGTGGAGGCTGACCTGGAGCACTCAGAGGTGGAAGAGGAACAGCGGTATGCAACTCGCTACCCAAGGCACACAAACAACAGCCAAGGGGGCCTGTCTGGGCAGGAGGAGGAAGGGATGTTAGCTCGATCAGCCAGCACTGAGAGTGGTTTCCACAATCACACGGATACTGCTGAAGGGGATGTGATAGCCGCAGTGGAGGACAGTTATGACACAGAAAGAGTTCAGGAAAATGAGGATGAAAGTGCGTATGCGGTGCAATACAGGCCTGAGTCTGAGGAGTACACAGAGAATGCCGATGCTGAGCATGGAGAGGCCATTCATAACCGAACATTGCCCAATCACTTGCATTTCCATTCCATCGAACATGAGGAAGCCATGAATGCAGCCTACTCGGGTTATGTCTACACACATCGACTTTTTCACCGAGGAGAAGATGAACAATATGCTGAGCCTTACGCTGACTACGGACTGCAGGAGCACGTGTATGAAGAGATAGGAGATACACCTGACCTCGATGTTAGAGAGGGTATCCAACAGTATGAGCGGGAAAGGGAAGAAGCTGACAATTACCGCAAGGAGGCACTTGGTGCCCGCCTTCACCATTATGATGAGCGGTCTGATGGAGAGTCTGACAGCCCTGAGAAGGAGGCCGAGTTCGCGCCCTACCCAAGAATGGATAGCTATGAACAAGAGGAGGACATTGATCAGATTGTAGCAGAAGTGAAGCAGAGCATGAGCTCCCAGAGTTTAGACAAGGCAGCTGAAGAAATGCCAGAGGCAGAGCAGAGTTTGGAGCATGGTCAAGCTCTTGCTGGTGGTGGGCATGAAAGTAATGGCCAGCTCCTGGCTGGTTCTCGAGTTACACCCAGCTCAGGAGAATCTGTACAGAGATACAGCAAGGAAAAGAGAGATGCAATTTCGCTGGCCATCAAGGATATTAAAGAGGCTATTGAGGAAGTGAAGACAAGGACCATCCGTTCTCCCTATACCCCTGATGAACCCAAGGAGCCTATCTGGGTGATGAGGCAAGACATCAGTCCAACCAGGGACTCTGACGACCAGAGGCCACTAGATGGAGATGTGAGTATACAGAGCTTTCAGTTCTCAGGTTATGTATGTTTGATTCCTTTAATTGTGACATGGCAGTGAAGGAGGATGCATTGTGTTCTTCTGTGACTCATTCCTTCACTAAAGTATGTAATGCTTTGTCCATTTTAAATTTGTGCTTTAGAGAGCCTGTAAGAACTAAGCATGTGCATTATCAGTGGCCACATTTTTCTATATGAAGCACTGTTGACCACAGTGATACTGTACAAGAATTTGTCACATGAAGCTCTTGTTTACTTTGTCTTCTATTATCTGTCCTTGTGTGTTTCTGTTAATTTTGAGTATCTAAGTTTGATTTTCTGTCACATAACAATCCCGAAAGTTCCATCAGTAATCTGTTAATATTCTTTATGATGTTATCATAGATCAGATTCATACTCCAAAAAAGTTGCAGGTTTTTTTTGCCCACTTGCAGTGTCTAGAAATGTACTATGAGCCTCAGTATATTGCATTATCGCTATAAAGTGTATTCACTCCCCAGCAATCATTCAGATTTAGAGCATCAGCATTTCTGAAATTCTGTGCTTTTGGCAGAGAGGCTTAACTTGGATCAGAATCAGTTCACAGTTTGTGGTCCCACCTGCCTGGATGATAATCTTTCCTTGAAGTTTCATGGAGTTTCTGCATTTCTAATAAAATAAACTCATAAGCAACTGTTAATTGCATTAAATTTATGCCTGATACAAAAAGAGCTTGTACTGGCCAAAAATAGTCTATCATACGGGCCCAGGCTATTACTTCAAGGATAACTGCACTGCAGACATGTGCTTTGTCCTCTTTATTGCTGTGGAATCTTTTTTGTGACCTTTGTTTTTTTCTGAAGAACACTGAAAATAGAACTTTTTGTATGTTGTTTGCTGCTTTAAGCTGAATTATTGTAATTTTCTAGGAATGCATCTTAACTACCCAAAACACCTCAGCCTCTGCAAAGGGAATTCAGATGGTGCAAAAAGACACAAGCCATGGAGATCTGTGACAGGCTTCTGATTTTTTTTTCTTCCTTCAAAGCAATGAAGGCTAGTATTCTGCAAATTGGAAGTGGGTTTTAGAGCATGGAGTCTGAGATGCTGAAAAATATGCAAGTTGATGGAGACATGTAGCTTCCAGATTTTATTTTTCCCTGAAAACTTCTGGAAACACGCAGTGATGAGTATGTTTGGATTATATTTTTGTTGTTGTTGTGGAACATCTCCCTTATGAGGAAAGACTGAGTGAGCTGGGTCTCTTCAGCTTGCAGAAGAGGAGGCTGAGGGGTGACTTCATAAATGTTTGTAAATATGTAAAGGGGGAGTGTCAGAAGGATGGAGCCACGCTCTTCACAGTGATGTCCAGTGACAGGACAAGGGGCAGCAGATGCAAGCTGGAACACAGGAGGTTCTGCAAAAACATAAGGAAAAGCTTTTTCCCTTTGAGGGTGACAGAGCACTGGCACAGGCTGCCCAGGGAGGTTGTGGAGTCTCCTTCTTCGGAGACATTCAAAATCTGCCTGGACATGTTCCTGTGTGACCTGCTCTGGGTGACCCTGCTCTGGCAGGGGGGCTGGGCTAGATGATGTTTTGAGGTCCCTTCCAACCCCTGACGTTGTGTGATTCTCATAGTGTCACTAAAACTTGGTTTTAAAAACCCTGAATATTGCAAAAATTACTTCTACAAATATCTTTGAAAATTATATCTGTTACAGAGGTGATTAACAGCCACATGGAGGGCTAAATCGATCTTCCCAGATTATTCTATACAAGAGAGCAATTATTTGTAACTTATTTAAAAATTTCCAGAAGCTGAGATTATTTCTCTCACCTTTTTCAAACAGATCATGTTACTCTTTTGCTCACCATATAGGCTGTATTTGTAACTGCTGTCTTTTTTTGGGAGGATCAAAGAACTTCCTTATGCTTCCTAGGTGTCTGGTAGTCACGCCCACTACCATATCTCAGTGATATTAGGTTGGGGATCCTGAAAGCAGTGAGTCCTTCCAGAAGGTGCACCAGCTGCTGTCCAAAATTTTGCTGCACCTTGCAGAATTTAATGCTTCTAAGGTATGCTGGTAGTGCTCAGCCTGGTATGTTCATGAAGTGAACTAAACACGTGTTTCTATTGCTATGTGTTTATTTATTGCTATGTATATTTTTGCTATTATTTATTGCTATGTGTATTATTTATTGGGTATTGAAATACACAGGAGTTTCTGTTTTGCACCGAAGGTTAGCTTCTCATTCAATATTTTTCATAGCTTGTAACATGAGAACCTGACTGAGATTTTGAATGCTGGCTATAATCAAAACAGTGATGTATAATGACAGCGTAGCTCAGTACAAATATAAATGATGGATGTAGATGTGCAGGCAGGCAGTGTTCTTGGAAAGAGAATCTAACTTAAGGTGGTTTGGAAGATCTGTAGCAGGTTGAGGGGAATACATGTTATAGAAGAAGAGACTTTAGGACTGGGTAGGAATTTTTGGTTTTCAATGAAAATGAGATAGGTATTTGGTTTACTGGATTCTTTAATTCAGATGCCAACTCAACAATTGGCTTTCTGTAACAAGGCAGGCCTAGAATTGCTTAGCAGTGAATTGGGCAAAATTATGTTGTGATCTTGAGTGATCAATTGTAATTAAAACATAGTGGAAACTTATTCAGTTAAATGTAGATTTTTCTTCTGTCTCCCTTGAGAAAGAAACAGGATCTCAGATGGGAGCTTTTCAGTGTAACCAGTATATGCCAGAGATGTTATTCAGTCTGATTTCTAACATTATCCTTGAAATAAGAAGGAATTGCATAAAATGAGTGTGTTACCTTCAGGTGGTCACTCTTCTTTCCCCAGAAGTATCAAAAGAGCTGCAGATAAATGATACAAATTGTAATATTTTATTCAGTTATTTTGCTGGTCTACTTTGAAAATTGTCCCCACATTGTTTTTTAACAAAACCATTTTGCTAAAAGCAAATAGATGGAACCTACTTGAAAATACTTATAATAATTTTATACTGTTAATCATATGATATTGAAACTTGTAAGACCTTTTTAGATCCAAATAACAGTCACTTCTTGTTCAGCTAGGAGCTCTTCACAAGAGAACAATGAAGTCAAGGAGCAGAAGAATGATTTGCAGAGACTCATTAAATATGACAACCTCTTTTTGCTTTTTTTGCAAGAAAGGGACTGTTAATCCTCAGTGCTTGTATTTAGATGTTACATTCGCAGCAGAATGTTTGGTAAAATACCAGTTGGAAGTTTCCAGAGACTATTTTGAGAAGTTAACAATCCAAAAGTGTTGGCTAGCCTACAGCTGAGTATAATTTGGGACTGTTAGGAAAGACATGCAACAACTGTGGTGGTAAGAAGGCTACAGATTATTGTATCTGTTTGTTTTTAAGATGCCCTCTTTCCAGATTAAATCTTCCAGGAATTTCAGTCATTCCTATGTATTTCTCCTCAAAAGAAATGTTTGGTAGATACATGAAAAAAAGAAAATTGCCCACAGCCCATGGACAATTCTGTTGGTAGTCTTGTGATGTAGGAGGCAGGTAGCAGATTTCTGTGAATAAATAAATAGCATACCAAAGTACCTTCTTAATATTTAACAACGGAGAGTATTTGGTGTTGTGTGCATTGTGCACCCTGGCTTAGTGAGCCATGCTTTCACTTGAATAAGGGACAATCTGGACTTTAGTTTGTGGGGAAGGTGCTGTACTTGTGTATTTGATAAAAGCTAAAAAAAATCTCTTTATGTCATTTGTATAAATGCTGGAATATTTTTTTTTTAGTTTGTCACACTTATGAGATGTGAACGACATATATTTCCAAAATCTGTTCACCAGAAAATGTTCTAAACCAAAGCATACCATCACTTGGATATGGCTGCATAAGAATATCTTTTTCAAATACAATAGCAATTAGCACTGCACGGCTGCAAAGAACCGTGACATCGGGAAACTGATCCGTGATGGAAAAGACTGTGGAACTGAAGTTAGGTTAGGTTGTATTTTCTGAGTCTGAAACAAGAGAGAATCAGTTCACATCATACTGAATAATGTTCAGAGCTGGTGACCAACATGGAGCTTATGGTACATACATGTCTGAGAGTTTCGGGGGTGGACACCCTTTAGGAAAAGATGTTCTTTTAGATGCACATAATTATCTCACTGGAAGGGAAGGACCATATCCCATTTAAGTAGCTCTTGTCCATCGTTCTTCTTGGTCGGATTCTCCACCTGAAACCTGCTGTGAATGTGCCTAGCCAAGCACAGAAGTAGCTATATTTAATGGTCTAAATAGAAGATATCTGCAGTGCATGGATCTGGACTTAAGGATGAACCCATGTTGAATTGGAAAAGGGAATAGTTTTGTGTAGTAGATTTCTCAGAACACAGTTAAATATTCTGGCGTGTAAACTGTCTGAAAGGTCTAAGAAAACATCTTTAAAGTGTTGTAGTGCTTTGAGGATAGGGGTTTGCTTGGTTGTGGAAGTACAGACCCCTGCTGAGAAAAGCACTGAAAGGTGCAAAAGCTTGAGTAGATTTTATATTTTTTTGGCTGGGATTTAAAGAGTCTTTCTGTCTTCTCATGTCCAGAGGAGAGAATCAGGCTTCTTACTTCACTTCTGCCACAACCAGGAGAAAAACAGTTGTTTGAAGGGGGAAATTCTCCATTTTAGAACTTAATACCATAACCTTTTTCTGAGGTATTTTCAGTTATCCGTGGGGTTATAGATCTGAAAGCCAAGTTTTGTTGACCCACGGGGCATGATTTGCTGCTGCATGACAAGACTTCAGTTTTGCAAAGCCCTCTCATCAGTGTTCAGAATCTCTGTTCCTCTGCAGACACTTGAGGTGGTGCAATGTTAGAATAAACCCTAATATAATGTAAAACCACAAACGTGAGTAGTTTGAATTTGTGAAGCAGAAGTTCAGAGCTGAAGACAAGCCTTTCAGGTAGAGCAGAACTGAGCTTCATTGGTTTGCCTCTCTGTTCTTTTTGGTTATGTATATTGTATTTCAACCTTGGAGTTCTTAATCGCAGGATGTTCTCAATTCTGGTAACTCCAAAAGTGAAGTGTTTTCATGGAGATGAATTTACTTCACTTTTTCCACAGCAGGAGTAATGTATTATTAACAAAGCAATAGAGAAGCCTGTTTTAAATAATTAAGCAGGCGTCAGTAATAGATGAACAAAGGGACGGAAAAAAAGAGAAAGAGAAGAAATGAAGATGACTTTATATTGATAGAATATTGTTTTCTGGTTTTGAGCAACCCTTTTAAAACTGTTAGTTGGCACACAGGACACAGGTCATCTTTCCCCCGTCTATCTGAGACCAGTCTTCTTACACAGAAACCAAAAAAAACCACCCTAAAAGCCCCAAACCAAAATAATTTTTTTTTTTAAAAAAAAAGAAAGAAAAAAAAAGCCCAAACAGACAAACAAACAACATTTTAACATCAAGGACAGAAGGCTTTATGCTGCTTCAATCACACTGAAGAAAGCTTAAATTTATCTGTTACTCTTCTTGAAGACAAAGACTCTCCAGAGGAGTTACGGCCTTTTAAATCACAGTAAGCACTGGATGCATAACCCCTTGAGTAATTCTTTTTTGTTTGTTTTATTATGTTTTTAAAATTGCGGAAAGGTGAAAGCAATTTCAAGTGTATTTTTTTCTCTGCCGTTAAAAGCTAGAACAGCACTTGCTGTACAGTTAAAAACTTTTGAAAACACAGGAGGGATCCACACTTATTTTTTCAGACTGACAGCTGAAGCTGCATTCAGACCACAAGTTCCAGTGAAAGTACAGTTAAGGAGGTCCATACCTGAAACAGAAGAATGGCCAACACTGAGCCAGCTTCCAGAAGCCCTCCTGGGCTGGCAGCCTTCCATCCAGTGATGGACAGACCCTGCCTGCAGAGTGTGTGTGTGTCTGTTAGCTGATGGAAAGAGTCCACAGAGCCTAGAATTTTATTCAAAGTGAACTTAGAGTTCACAAAGTGAGGTTGTGGTACTGCATGGCTACCGCTGCTGACTCATGTGACCAAGAGACTCTGAAATGGGCAAAATAGAGGGCCATTGTGCCCTAACAGGCACAGTTGCATTTATTGTTTGCTCACTTGAACTTTTCTGTGTCAGATCTAAATCTCTTGTGTTTTCTTAGGTAGATTTTTATTTTGTATTTTAGACTTAGTAGTATAACACTAACAGATGAGGGTCTTTCTTCAAACACTTTGGTAGGTAGGCAGTTACTGCTTGGGTAAAAAATCTCTATTTTTGTAACTGCAGTGAACTTTACTGGAGAGTTACTACTCAGTGTTGCTGTGCAGACACTCACAGACAGTGTGTTTGTTTTAAAAAAGCTAGTTTATTCAGAGCTTTTTGCATAGTGTAGCATGTGTGGACAGTCAGATCTCTCAAGTGGGATTGTCCGTGATTGTCCAGAGGGCAGCAGCTGGCAGGAGGCTTCATCCTTGCAGGGTATCGTCAGCTGCGTCAGGAGAGATTCCCTAAACTACAACTCTCCAAACTGCGTTTGGAGGTCTTGCATACAGCTGGTCTGTGATCCTTTATGACTACTCTAGCATGTGTGATACATGGCTATAGTTTACCTTCAGCTACATATAAGACACCTCCTATGTTATCGGTCAACCCGAGATTGTGGAAAATGACATTCCTTACCTGCAGGAACAGTTTTTCTTGACTATGGGCAAGTATCTTGTCCGTGTGCTATTTGGTCATTTTTGCAGCAGAAACTGAGTGGGAGAGCTGAGTGGGTCAGCCATAGTCCCTACTCAAAATGTCATTTAGCACCCTGAAGGGATGAATTGGGCCCCTCACTTGCCATATGCCCAGGAGGAGCCTCCTGGGGGAATCTCTAAGACTGCCTGAAATTCCTGTACGGAGGGGTCCTACAGCAGTTAAGTCAGATGCATTGTTCTGAAGTGAGCAGTTCAGTCAGTTACCTTGTCTCAGGTCAACCAGTTGCATCACCTCTGCAGAAACAGGCAAGTGTCAGGCTCTGGACCACCCAGCGAAGTGGTGGGTGAGTGCACTGGGTATCTGCAGCAGCAGCTACACCACAATAACAGTTACACCACAGTTACAGTGCAAGCTTAGGTTTCATCCTTATGTCACAGTTATGAATTAAATTGCGTAAGTTGTACCACAGTGTGCATATATGTGTACAACAGTTCTGGTTTTGCTTTTTCAAACCCTCCATTTTTAACATTATAGTTAACGCAGATTTAAACAAATAGTAATGATGATTAGCTATATTGTAAGGAAATATAGCTTTTTCAGTGCTGTTCTTTATGGATACTTTATTCTTTCTGAAAGCTGTGGCCATGTGTTGATGGTGTCAGTCTACGTTTTAGTGAACAGAATTCATGCCATTCAAATCACAGTAGCTATTCTGCCACAACACGTGCTAAAACATGAGAGATTTACTGCCCAGCACACCTCTGGAATTATGCGTTTGGCAGTACTCGCACATTGGACCTGAATATTTCATAATGCTTTGACCTTTGCCTAGCGTGTATGGGCACCTCTCAGAAGACTTTTTTTCACTAAAATTAAATAAATTTAAAAGCCTTGCATTACCCAGTTGTCTCCTCTGAATTAATGTATGAGGAGACTATGTTTGCCATTCCTCTGCCAAGGAGCCTGAAGGTGGACATTAGTGTCATGTAAGTAATTGCCTTCTGTTTAATTGAATAGTGCACTACTGAAGTATTTGTTGTTTTCATCCTCCCTGTCCCTGCCTTGTATGTGATGGTGTGGTGACACACTAGGTTATTCTCTTTTCAGATGAGCTGCTGCTAAAACCAGGTAAAAGAGCACTGCTTTTTATAAAGCAAGAGCAAGTGGATGTATTGGAAGATGTTTCGATGTCAGTTGTGTTTGTCTTCATGAGCTATTCAGCAGCCGTCTGGGTTGGCCTGATTAGGTTAGATGAAGCACAATCTTCTCCTGTTACATGTTCGGTTACTAAATCCCTCTGCACAATAGCGAGGAAGGTTTCTCAGCTGGAGTGGGTTGCGTGTTAGTTAGAGTCAAACACCACCAAAACTGAGATGGAGAATTTCTGGATGTACCAGGCTGAGTATCGTAAGAAAAATGTAAGTAGATATTCAAGAGGAAAAATTGGGTAGCTACTACATTTTTATTGCTACACTTAAGAAAAGACTTAGTGATTTCATTGATGGGCTTCTCTGAATAATAAGACCATACTTCACGTGGACTTACTATGTCTCTTCTGACAGCATTTTTGTTAGGCTTCTAAAACTTGTTAACAGATGAGGAAGGAGTCACTGAGCATTTATTTTAGACTTTGGTTCTAGTGTTTTGAGCAGTTGTGCAAGTTGTCCATCAGGTATGATGTATCAAAATATTTCTTGTTATTGCTGTGACTGCATTCTTTCCATGTTCATTGTGTATGGGATTCTAAAAATGCATTTTGGTGCAGAAGAGAACTGAGTGTTTATTCTTCAAAGACTGAACTGTTATGTACAAATGCTTTTGGGAACAGCTCTCGTGTCATGTCATGTAGCAAACTCTGTAGGACGTTTGATATTGGGGTTTGGTAATTTTAGTTTGGCTTTTTTTTTCACAGAAAAAAATAAGCAGACCTTCAAACAGAGCACATGGAAAGCCATGTGATTATTTTGATGGTTGCTTAATTCTAATACTTGGTAGATTAAAATAGCTGAGTAAAGGTATTTATAGTTCTACTAGAGTAATTGTTAATATATTTTAAACAATGCAAAACTCTTAATGTCAGCAACCAACTGATTTAAATGGAATAATTTATTATATCTTCAGTGTGTGAATATGAGAGATTTTAGGTATTTTTAAGAAGTTGTTTCGGGGTGGAAACACTTGATGCTGAAATATGATATGCTTTATTTCTTTGTTTACTAATTAAAGCTCAATCCTAAATATCCTGATATCATTATGTCAATTGTTATGACTGGGCCAGCCACTAAACACGGACAGATGCTTTCTAACCCCCTCTTCCTCCCCAAACAGGAAGGAAAAAGGGAATGAGGCAGTGAGACTTAGGGATTAGAAAACTAAAACTGTTTTAATGAAACAATAATAGAAATAATAAAAATAAAGAATTATATATGAATGTATACAAATCCAATATCGACCTCCCCCCTCCCCAGTAGCAATCCCCACTGGTGCTGCAAAGCAGGCAGCACCAGGGAGCCCCCAGGGTCAGCAGCAGCAGGGAACCAGTTACAGGAGCTGGATTTGGGAACTCGGGATCAAGATCGGAGGCAGAATATCAAATGGAGTCCTCCTCAGATGCTGGGCGTTGGAGAAAAAGGGCTAATCCCTGTAATCACTGTTTTATACTGAGCATGACATATATGGAATGCAGTACTCTTGCTCGTCACCTGTCCTGTCTCTCAATCACCAGAAGTCCCACCTTTTACTTCCTTGTGACCCCTCTTACTACCCGGCACCCCCAGCGTGGCACACAAGAGCCAGCAGTGGCCTTGGTCACTGTAGGAATAAGTATCAGCAAGAGCCTTTCTGCATCCCAGTCCCAGGCAGTAACTGCAAACATCAGGTGTTATCACTGCCAGTAGCACACACTGTCTGCAAAAACATGCGATTGTCTTAAGAAAGTTCAGCATTTTAGAAGAGACTAAGGTGGAAAGTAAAAAATACTGAAAAGAATTGGATCTGTTTAGTTCAAACCAGGACACATTATTGGGTTGTTATTTTTTTGCACCTTTTATATTTAGCTATTGGGAATGTGAGCACTGTCAGGACACTTCCTTTAAGTAAATACAAGTTACCATTTTTATGTTACAACTGTGACACTGTAACTCTCATAGTTACACAGCAAGTCAGCCGAGTCTGTAGCTCTCCCACAGCAGCACAACAAGAAGCCCGCCAGCCTGCACAGGCCAGCCTTTTATGGACCATTTCACAGCTGCATCTCCTTTTTGCCATGAGGTTGTAGTTTGAAGCATAGGGAGATGCAAGGACTGCTCCTATCCCAGGAGATATCTCTGGGGATAAGGAATTTGCTTAACTCTTTGGAAGCCTTTATTACTTAACTACAATTCTAATATTTAGTAATTATCTGGGATAGACCTTTTAAAGGAACGAGAGTAAAGAGGAGGAGAAGGGAGTTTTATTTTCTTGTTTTGTTCCATATCGCTGAAGCTAAGCTTGCAAAACTTGAGGGATTTTGCACGCTGTTTCATAGAACTCGATGTTTCAGCTGGAGTGGATGCATAGCAAAGAGAGCGCTCCTAAACTGGAGCTGCTGCGGGCTCAGGGCACTGGAAGTGGAGCTGTTTTCTGATATAACTCGCTGACTTAAGAGAAAAGCAATGTCATGTAATTGTTTATGAAACCAGAATAATAGTATTTTGGCTGTTTTGTCATCAGTGATGAACTGCTGAGCTGGCAAAGGTAGGGCCAAACTCCCTAGAGGAGAGTGTAGAATGCCATGGCTGCGGGGCTAAGCACCCAGCTTGCATCGCTAAATGCTAAACTTTCCTTTGAGGGTTCACATTTTGGCATGTGGACTGGCATGTTTTCTAGGTATTTGGTTATCGCTCTCACTAATTCCACGCTGAGCATTCTTGTGTCATGCCCCCATAGCAGTCGGCTCTGCTTTTTGGCTGAGTGATGTTGTTCATACATCATTGGCACATAAACACGAGTTGTATTTGAAAAGATTTACCTGTTCTGAGTAAGTCCACTGAGATACTGGTATGTAGACATCATGATAAAAACCAAACGTTTCAACATTTTTTAAGTGTTTGTCATGTGTTATGGGTTGTTTGTTTTTTTCTCCACTGGCACGTTAGAGGAAAATATGAAGAAAGAATTTCTGCATAGGTCACTCAGATTATCATTTAATTTTTTTGCTGTGTCTAGTCTCCATCTCCAGATTCCTCTTCACCTCGGGGTGCTGAGTCATCGAGTAGGCAACATCACCAGGATGTCTGTGGTACAGCAGAGACCTCCACTAACAAAGAGGTAGAGTGAAATTTTTTCAGAAGGCGTGATCTTGTTCCTGTTGCCTACAACTTTCTATTTTCCTTGCCCCCTAGTACCTGTACAATTCCTTCTCTTCTTCCAAAATTGCAACAAACTTCAAAAGCTAATTTGTAGCTCTTTTCCCTTATGCTTGCCTGACTGTCTTACTGAATTTCTAACATTCTTAAGGCTGTTTGTCATGACATTTCTGACTCTGTAGGTGGCTGCTACTAAATTCATTTAACAGGCTGGGAGTTATTTATTTACTAATCAGATAAAATCACCTCTATATAAAAATCAGAAGGAAGATGTGCTTTTCTTCTTTCTGTGCAGAAAATCTTCCTGCAAAGGAAAGAATGTTTCTCACTCAGTCAGATGAAAAAGCTTGCTTAATATAAAATTAATTATTAGTAGTTTATACTTCTTAATATTTTGTCATTGTAGAAACTGACTTGGCAGTTGATGTAAAGTCAGAATTCAATACCTGACACCAGGCTCTTCAAAGTAAAGCTACATACCTTTTTTTTTTCCTCCCCTCACCTGGCAACTTTTTAAACTACAGTAGTTCCACCAACATAAAATAAGAAGTGTAGGAACTACTCACAGTGTGAAAAGAAAATTATTTGGCATTAAAAGTGCTTAGTTTAATATAGAGTGTCAGGCTCTGTAACAGAAAAATCTTCAAATATTTGGTTTATTTGCTTTTTTTGTTTTTAAATATCAAAACAATTTAGAAACTGTAGTCTGACAAGATAACATTGCAATACGTGAGTTGTCTTCTACAATGAAAAAAACTGATCTGCTGTAACTGGGAATGCTGATTAAAATTGAAACATTAATTAGTAATCCATTCTCTTTTTTTCCTTATGTTATTATTAAAGGATGAAAAAGCTTGTAATATGTATGTATTTCTACCAGCCTATGTTTGCATTTAGAAAATACTGAAATGTTTCAAAATACTTAAGAAACTCGTAATTTTTATGTGCCAAAGCCTTTGACAGTAGCTTGTGCCATTAAATTTTCATCTGCTATATTGTTAGCTTGTTAAAGCTGTTAGCTTTCTTCAGTACAAGTTTTGTCACTTTATATATATCCTAATCTTTAGCGGTTTTTAGACATCAATAAACTTACTCAAAGAAAACAAAGAAGATGCTGCTTATTTCAGTTTCTAGAATGTGCTCACATGTACTGTTAGAGACGATAAGGCAGGGTTCACAGTAGGATGTGCCAGGCTCTTTGTTTCCCTGAGATGAGCAACAACGCCTGCTTTAGTACTTTCAAAGCAAGAACAACAGTGAAATATCAGCCTCAGAATTTGTTGAAATGACTTTTAAGTCTTAGTAAAACCTTTTTTTGAAAAATACGAATTTTATAATACTAGGTAGGAACAAGACCAGCAAATGTAGTGAAACATTAATGACCTTGATATTTCATTATTCATGGATATGTAAAATTAAAACGTCTAAGTTTCCTCCTGATGGTAACTTTACCTTTTACTTTACTATACCTGTAGTCTTAGTAGAATGTCTTTCATGCTGGGAAATCAACAAAAGCCTAAACTTATGTGTGTTTTTTGGCAATAAAATAATATCTGATGAGAGTTTACATCACTATCCTGAAAATAAGTTACTCAGCTTGCTGAGTAGTTGCCAAATCTTTAATTACAGACTTTTTTCACTCTCTTAGAAAACCATAAAAATACTTTGGAAAGAGCATTTAGATGTATAATTTATCTCTGGTGTGTAGGGGATTTTTCCTCTAGGCCTGTTAGGGTCCAGTGTTTGAATCTCCCTATTAGCACTACACTGGCAGCAATTACAATTGTTGAAATCTGTATGGGTAAGTGGTCCAGGGAAAACACTAATCTGAAGACATGAAAGACCCACAGAGACATGTCAGTGTCCTAACAGCAGCTTAAATGCCTTGGCAGTGGGAAATAGTTTTTATTGATGCTTTTATTTATGCTAGTACAGTCTCTGATGGAGAACTCTCTTGGTTTTGCAGTACAGCTTTGTCGTTTTAAAAAAGAAGAGCAACTACTTGAAGGCTGTGCAGGCTCTGCTGTCTCTGTCGCAGGCTTTTTGGTTTTGTCTCACGATTTGATTTATAGCAAGATGAACATGGTTAATTAAAAATATTACTTTTTACATCCATTTCATATTTGTTATAATGGAGAAGATTCCTTGGGTTTTGTCACTCAACCTGTCACATAACTTCCTAGTTTGCATATTTTTTCCATTGATAGATAGAACCTAAAGAGTGAGATAGAAACTAGTTAAGTTGCCCATCATAAAAGAAAATAATTTAGCATATATTTCAGTGTAGGTTGTCAGGAAATATACTGGAAATTGTGCATCTATTGTCTGTCTATTGTCTACTATTGTAATTATATAGATTTTCTTTAATAAAACTATATTAAGCAGTCAGTGGAGGAGTTACTACTAATACAATTGTTTGTAGATTCATTTAAGTTTTATAGTCCTTGTCCTACCCAAATTTCTCACCAGCAGCACTTACAGTTGCAACAGATATTTCAGTATATCTATTACCGTCTATATATTGCCACACAGATTTTTCTTTGATAAATTTTTATATGTGGTTAAGTCTTACTAAAAATTGTAGCTTTCAGGGAGTCGAAGCGTTAGCCGCAGAGTCTTTCACATAAAATTGCAGTTGGAAGTAAGGTCTTTCTTTTGACCTTATATTCCCATATGCAAGTTAGGATTTTTAAAAAATTTTTCACCTTTTACATAATTGAAGCTACCAGATATGCTTTTGTGCTTGATATACTTCAAACATTTAGCAATTTCAGTTCTGAAAAGCCTGATTACATTTGAGATGCAAAAGATTAAAATAACTAAACAGGTAATGTTAATAGTTCCACTTCTTAGATGTTTTTATATGTTTAAAATCGTGGTGGTGAGATATTAGTGAGCTCAGTTACCCCACAGCATGCAGGATGCTACCTAACCTGTTAAAATTCAGAAGGCTTTTTTGTAGGCTTCATTAATGTGAGGGATACGTCTAAGAACAGTCCGAATGGACAACGGAGTTTGGTTGACAAATAACTGACTGTGCTGATAGTTTTAGTCACAAATAATAACAGTATAGCATAATTTTATATATTCCTGCATGCGTTTATTTGTAGTTGGAAGATCCAATGTCTTTGAGATATGATGCATTTTCCTGCATACTTCTTGATTAGTAAATGTAGAATACCTAGTGGTAGAAAGTTAACATACTACTGACCACCAAAATGTGACTGAAAACTGGGCCTAGCATGTTGCCTGATAAAGACACAAATGGAATACATAGAATTTAACACCAGTAGGTGCTTAGAGTTTGAAAATATTAAATATAATAATCTTAGTAAGTGATGAAGTTCTTTTGCTAATAACTGTGACTGATGTACTTTTTTTTTTTTTTGTCATGGAGAAATTTTTAATGCATATTTGTGCATGGTCTGTTCTGTTTGAAATCCTTTTTGTCTTAATTACAGTCCAGAAAAAGCTTGGCTTCATTTCCAACCTATGTTGAAGGTAAGATACTTCTACAATTTCTAAATGTTTTTTCATATCCAGAAAACTCCAGTATTGTATAAAATTTTATTTTTATTTCCTGAATGGAAAAGCTGCTAGGGTTGAATAAACTGATTCAGGTTAAATTGTGTCCAATCTACAACCTGAGCTAAATGCTACTGCACTTTTTCAGAGACATGGAGCTTTTAATTTTTTAGTGTTTTGTTCAGAGTTTCGATGTCAGTTCTGCTCGTTTTTTGTCCGTATCAGTTAAAACACTGCTAATTTTTTTATGGTATTTACACAACACATATGAACATGTGCGGACAAGGTAAATAGGCTAGGCGAGAAAACTCCCTTCAGCACTGATTTCAGTTGGCAGGCTCAATCCAATCTCAGTTCAATTAATTAGCAAAATTTAACTAATTTGATTAATTAGCAGGCCTGCCAGAGGAAATCTACACTGCTTTACAGCTGCTTATCCTCTGATTAAGTACTGCTTCCTGTCTTAGAGTGAAGGTTGCGCTTGTGCTAGTGCTGAATTTATTTGGAACAACGTGAAAAAGCATTACACAAGCAGTCGTTACCTTTTGTATGAGTCTCTATCATGGATGTACAGGAAGACTACATGCTGTAAAACCTGGTTATTTTGTTATGAGAGCATGACAGAAGCAGAAAATTTGAAGTTTTTTTTTCCCCTGACAGCAGTTGTTCCATACGCTTGATGAATTGCCAGAATACAGTTGATGTGATACATCGTTTGGGCTCTCTTGGAACTCCTTGGATTGCTTTACAGTGTGCTGTGTGTAAACAGTTGTTTCCATTGGACAACAAATTGATCATTGGTTTAGTCTTCAGTGTGTGAGCTGGATATTTTGGAGTCTATGGCCAGAACATCAATTAAAATACTTTTCATATGTTGCTTTGAAACTAGTTGAGCTTTGGAATTTTGCAGCAATGTAGATTCTCTTAGAACTGGAATTCATCTCCTAGTGGTAGCCCTTTCCATCAAGGACTGTCTTAAATAATCCTCTCCTTCTTAAAAAAAAAATAAAAAATTGTGAACTAAAAATTCCCTAGATTTTGGTCCAGTACACAATTCCATAAAAAACCCCAAATTTTCCATTGTTATGCACTAGCAGTCCAAGAAAAACTTGCTAGCATTTATGCTACACTTTCATTCAGGTAATAATTTCATTGTCAGAGGTAATATATGGAAGCAGTGCTGTCTGTGTGTTCACGTCTTGTGAAAAAGGAGCACTTACCTCTTGGTGTAAATATATTTCCCTCTGGGAGCCTTGTCTACACTGCTGTCAGTCCATATTTATAGGGGTTTGTGTTTTCATCAGAAATTGTGCTATAAAGGGTTTTGTACTCTTTATGATGAAGTGGTTGAAGTGGTGAAAAGGCCTTGACGTGTAGAGTAGTGAATAGCGACACCTAAAATGCTGTATAGTTTCAGAACTGGAAGAGTGTGCAAATATGTAGTAGTTCCAATGCTTAAATTTCCCTAAAAGAAAAATCCATTACTTTGAGTCATGGACTCGAAAGTGACTTGTTAATTGTGAGAGTTTTCCCCCTCTGCTCCACTCTCGTGAGACCCCACCTGGAGTGCTGCATCTAGGTCTGGAGACCACAGCACAAGAAAGCTATGAAAGTGCTGGGATCGTGTCCAGAGAAGGGCCACGAGGATGATCAGAGGGCTGGAGCACCTCTCCTGTGCAGACAGACTGAGAGAGTTGGGGCTGTTCAGTCTGCAGAAAAGAAGGCTCCGAGGAGACCTTACTGTGTCTTTGCAGTATCTCAAGGGGGCTACAAGAAAGCTGATGAGGGGCTTTTTAGGATGTTGAGTAGTAATAAGGCTAGAGGGACTGGATTGAAGCTAGAGATGGATCGGTTCAGATTGAACGTTAGGAAGAAGCTCTTCACCATGAGGGTGGTGAGACACTGGCACAGGTTGCCCAGAGAGGTGGTGGAAGCCCCATCCCTGGAAGTTTTTAAGGCCAGGTTGGATGGGGCTCTGGGCAGCCTGCTCTAGTGGGGGGTTGGAACTAGATGATCTTTAAGGTCCCCTCCAAGCCTGACAATTCTATGATTCTATGGTATCTGAACACATTCTGCATGCTGGAGATGAGCATCTTGAAATTACTAGCTATAAATTTTCATATTTGAAGAAAACATAAAGGAGATAAGCTTGCTCCTAAGATTTATCCATCTACACCTGTTGTGTATTTTCAGTATGGTATTTGCCTCCATCTCTTTCTTTTGTTATTTTACTAATAACTTGCATTTTTGGGGGGCCAAAGTTACCCATACTCATTCTGAGGGTCTGTCAATCTCTTGTATTGTAATTAGAACAAAATTGTTATTTTGAGTAGTAGTTAAATATAAGGCCCAATCACCCTATATCTTGAGATGCCTCTTGAACTAATAAAAGCTCAATTATGATATTGTAGGGGGTTTGCTTTATTCTTAGAGGGGAAAAAAAAAGCAAACCTAAAAACAGAGGGAGTTTTGATGATGAAATGTGGACACTTATAGTATTTCACATTCTTTGAGATGATTTGCATTTTCACTTGTCTTGAACATCTTTTTTTTTTCCTTACTTGTAAGAAAACGAGCTTCTTAGCTTTCCTTTTAGATCATGACAGTGTTAGCGTGTAGCAAGGTGTTAAAATAGAAGGGTTTAACATATGCTTTTTTTGGATACAATCCCAAAAACACAGACCACAAATGCTGCTTGATAAGGATTTATATTGTTAGGCAATGAACACTTCACTACCCTCTAACTTTCCACAGAAGATGATGGGAGTCAGATCATTAAAAGTCTGTGGGACTACGTTGTTTTGCCATCAGGAGAGTTCATGCTCTGTGTATTTAACAATATTTTTATTTAGCTCAGTACTTCACCACACTATCATTATTGAGACTTAAAAGTAATTTTTAAAGGTCTGTGGCGTAAAAGTACCCTGCTTAATTTGGCAGTCAGTCTTCTTGGTAAGGGGAAACATACTGTACCTGTAAAGCGTTTCTGAGGAGGTTCCTCTGGCTGTAGTACTAACTGTGGCTAACACACACCTGAGCAGGTGGTTGGTGGCTGTTATGAAATTGCACCCTTACTCTTCTTGTTTGTGACTGTTGCTCTTAAAATAGCAAGGTGGATTTTGGTGGGTGAAGAAAAAAGGGACACAGTTACTCAGCTTGTAACAGTGAAAGCTCACAGAGATCATTTTGCTCCAGGGTGATCCCTGCTCACAAGAGCATGAGAGACAGCAGGCTACGTTAATAATTACAGCTTTTGCTGGTTATGCTGGGTTTGCACAACAAGGTTTTGGTAGTGGGGGCAGGGGGATTGTAAGAGTGGCTACTGTGAAAAGATGCCAGAAGTGCCCTATGTCCAACAGAGTCAACGTCAGCTGGCTCCAAGACAGACCAGCTGCATGGCCAGGACCTGACAGCGGTAATGCCTCTGTGATAATATATTTAAGAAGGGGGGAAAGAAAACTGTGCAACTGCTACCAAAGAGAGGAGTGAGAATATATGAGAGAAACAACTCTACAGACACAAAGATCAGTGAAGAAGGAGCAGGAGGAGGTGCTCCAGGCACCAGAGCAGAGATTCACCTACAGCCGGAGGTGAAGACCATGGTGAGGCAGGCTGTGC